TTTATCCTTTTGCCTTTTATTATATTTGCCTAATATAACTGCATCAATGGAGTAGGCATGAGGTGGTATACCTCTTAGGAGACTGCTTTTCTACAACTGACCTCTTTACACATTTTACTCCAAATTTTGTGGTTTTTTTTTTAGTTTCTAGGAGATATGATTATGAAATAACAAGCGAACTCAGTTAATGAAGAGCTGTCTTCTTGGTTCCCCTAAAACAATAATTCTAAGAGAGAGGTGAATGGCTTGATTAATTTCTACGTGTCGTTAACTTCCATGCCCTCAGATGACAGACAACTTTAATATTCACAATGTGAATTATTTCTCTGCTGATTAGTTTAGGAGAAACACACAATGATTGTACTTATTGCACTGTGCCCAACAACCCTTCAGATCCCCTAAAGCTTGAAATGTTCCTGCTGCCCAAACAGGTGCTTTCATCGCTCATTTTAGGCAGGATGGTTGTGTTTTTACGACACAAGAATCTGTGGCAATTATTAACTGCAAATGTGGACAGTGTGAAGCAAAACAAATTTCAGAATGACTGGTAAGTTATGGACTGATGAATTGATATATACCTTTATTTAAATTTAGCTGACTAAAAATTGCTGAGAGTCTGAGCTTTATCTTTAAAATGTTTTCTCAAATCTCCCAGCCCATTAGACTTAAGTAGTTTAGAATTCAATGATCTGATTGCAGAGTTCAGAGATTATTAGAGCAAATGGGGCCTGATCAATGCCTTGGGTCGTCTTTTCAGTGTGTTAATTAATTAATCAACAGGAACAGAAATATATGTGTAATGCAAATTAACTCAGTCTCAAGTTACTAGAATACCAGAATTGGTTGCACGCGGAAGAGTGGAATCCAAAAGCAGCACAATATTGGTGCTTTTATCTGTGTAACACCACTTTTCTTGGTGATGTCCTGAGCTAGAGATATTCGAAGGATTAGTGTGATTGTTTCTGGTGTGCTCTCCTGAAGAAATGAATAAGCTTTTGAGGCAAGGCAAGAAATTCAGCAACTGAAACATTCATGATTCACACCCTTGATTCCATTTGTTGTCACTGTTTCTCTTTATTTACATTAACTTCCCCAAACCAGGTTGTTTTGCTATAACCTAGTACTGAATACATTTCCCCTGATCCCCAAGTCTACATTAATTTGCAATATTTCCCCACAAAACAAAGTAATTTGATGTGATCTTTTCTGTTATCTTTGCCAATGATTTTTTTAGTTTGTTTTTTTTCCCATAGCTTTGTCTTTTTGTGTTGAAAGATATAAGCTTTGTTCTCCCCTACTTGCTCTTTATTAAAAGTCTTCTATCCTTGGTCTTCTTCAGAGTACATGAAAGTTTTGTGCTACTTTTCCCAAGGACTGTTCATGGTCTCCATTGCCTGGGGAGGTTATGTACTTGATTTGTTTTGGAGATTGGAGACATTCTTCTATTCCTGTATGTAGACCTCTACTTTCAACTGCATGCAGAGACCAGACCAACTCATTGCTTAGGTCATCTCTTTGTAGCAGTCAGCTTTGCCTAGATTCAATAAAGTTTTTAGGTTCAAACCTTGAAGTACCTCCTGTCGGGTTTCTTGCTCCAGTTCTCTTGTGGCTTTTTATGCAAAGAGTAATTTTTATTAACAATAAAAGAGTTGTGTGCATAGTTGGGATAAAAGTTAAAACTGGGGTTTCAGAAAAGAAAAGGCAGTGCCAGCATTTGGCCTACAGTTCCTACAAACAGGGATAGTCAGTGTTCAATTAAAGCACCAGAAGGTGGTCTGTCACAAACCCTGTGAACTGGAGCACTAGGGCTATTTCAGCTGCTCTGCCCTTACCTGCTGGTTTTGGAGACAGCAGTAGCAATAGGCCAGCCACCAGAATTTCCTGTCTTAGTGAAACAACCTGTGGTATTATGTAAAACTCACTCCCAAGACCAAAGGCCATGAAGTTGGCTAAGCCTGCCAGTAGATCCTTTGCCTAACTCTCTCCCTGTTCAGCTTTCATAGCTGTGGCAGGAGACAGAAGACGATGATGTTGGTAAGGCAAGTAGGTATTTCACACTCATCTCAAAGAGACAATTTTCTATTCTGTCACTTGTGTGATTTTATTCTTGTATGTACATAGACAGATTCCTTGAATCATCACATAAGTTATAAATTCCATTTTGTTTCCATGAACTGTGAGTCTCCCTGTGTCTGGGGCTGTCATGTGCTAACGAGACAGGAGGAGTGCCAGCGTGTCAGTCATTACAGACTCTCTCCATCTAGTTTACTCTTAACTAGGAATGGCAATTGAGGACCGGGATCTTAAATAAGGACAGGCATATCCCTCCTGGGATGAACTAACACAAAGCAGCCAGGTGGTAATGTTTGGATTTCAAAACCAGGAAGGATTTTAGGAAGCAGAAACAGCTTGGTCAGGAAAGATAAAGTGATGCATGGACACACCAGAGGGGTCTTGTGACACAGTGGCAGTAGGGAGGCAGCGGAAGCCGCCATTTGAAGAAGCAGCTGGTGGGGAACGGGAGATGAAGGTCTCACAACAACAACGGGGATCTCACAAAATCTCAAGGAAAATTCAACAGTGAGGAAATGCAGGCAGAGAGATGAACATGTGTTTACTATTTCATATGTCTCTGTGTATCTCCTGTGGTCATTAAAGTGAAAAATAACTGGTTTTGAGATAGTTTGCAAAGTCTGTGCATTACCTGATTCAGCTTTGTGGGATTCTGGAGAGATAAATTGTCGCTCAGATGTTGACTATGACCGAGCTCTTGGAAAGAGTGAGTCAAAGCCATGGGGATTCAGCAGCAGTCACAGGGTCTAAGCAGAGGTCTCTGTTCCTTTGGAGACCCAAAGCAGATAGAAAAATTTCAGTGTTTTTGCATAGAAGTAGACCGAGGCTTTGTGAGTGGCCCACAAGAGGTATAATCTAGGCTATAATATCTCAGTCTTTGAATTCTTACCTGTAGTAAAATGAAAGTCACTGGAAGAACACCAAGACTTGCACATAGTTAGATATCAAACGGTACCATCAGTGGCTCCAAGCATTATCTGGCAAACACATGTCCATAACAAGCCACAAAATGAAAGTCAGACCCATGTGCATAATTCGCACTAAACCCAAAAATAATAATTCCCACCAACTGACAGCCTGTTAGCTCAGGCTTAGTGCCATGCTACTGTAGTTACATTGCTTCTGAATGCTTTGGTGCATGGGAAAAGGCAGCTTGTGGTTGCATGCATGATGGTCAAGGTAATCACATCAGCACATGATTACATGCACCCTGTGTTGGAAGGACTCAGGTGAGATTGCCAGCATTTCAGTTGTTGACTTTGTGTGTTTTCTCATAGTGGGGTGATGGCCAGTGTGCATGAATAGCTTTCTACAATGAAGTCAAACTACAAGCTCCTCAGAGACAATTTAAAAGGAGTGAAATGCTCAAGAGGATAATGTGGAGCAAACTGATGTAAATGGTTCTGCATACGCTGAAATTTATGAGATTTGTTTTGGAAGTGAAGGGAATGTACTTTGCTGTATAGTTTTGGTTTGCATAAATTCAGAAAAAGTTCTGAATTTCTTTTTTTCTGAAAATATAACTTAACCATTGAGAGGGAGGTAAAACTTTTGTGATGAAGGGAAAATATTATAATAGGAAAATTGAGGATTAATGTGATGTCCATGTTTCAGACCTATTAGGTCTGAAAACAGATGAACTCAGGAGATTACTTTGTATGATTTTTACATAAGTAAGTGGACATATAGTTATCTATATAAAATATTAGTGCATATTTACAGTATAATAATTAATTCAACTTTTTAAGGAAATTAAGATTGCCTCAAATTTACATACAATGTGAAGAAAAGTCCTTTTATCCTCTGTAACTGCAGCATTTGGCAGATTCAGGAATAAATAATGTTTTGTGGCAAGGGTATGCCTTATCAAACATATGCAGATCAGTGCTAATTAATGCTAATTAAGGTTTCCTGTCTATCTAGCTGGAAAAACGTCCAAATGTTATGAAATCCAGTTAGTATGCCTATTACCCTAATTGTTTTATATGGGATGGTTCTTAATTAAAATATGTAAATTGACCTTAATTGCTATATACTAATGGAGGTTCATGTTATCTCACTAAAAATGACAAGATGGTGAGGAGGGGTACTTAAACAAATAAGTCTGATACATTTGTAAATAAATGACCTTTACTCAAAATTATTTTTAATTGGAAATTGGCAAAAGGAACATTTTGCCATCTATGTTTCTCTTTAGTTTTAAATAATGTCAGAATTTACAGTTCTTTGTTAATATATATCTGGTGACATTACAGCTTAATTAGGACTGCTAAACAAGTCAACATTTTGTGTGTTTACTGTATGTTTCAAAATTGTTTGCTGACCTACAATGACCTTCAGAAATGTCATGCTTTACAGTATTAATCTTCTTCTTCACTATTTTTTTTTTTATTTTTTGATTTTGATCTCTTTTAATGATACAGTTTTATTTGTGAAGTTTGATGTACTTTTGCTGGTGCCTGGCCTGTGCCTTTGCAGCAGAGAGGCTGGTGAGCAGCACCTGTTTGTGCTTCACCTGTGAGTATAGGAAATGGACTTTGATCATCTTTGGGGAGGATAGTTCACGTGTATGCTGTTACACGACAGAGGCCTAGACAAGTTTCTACACAAAGTCTTACATGCTTTCTGCCCGAGACAGAAGCATTATTTGAATGATAGTTTGTATGGCAGTTTGTAGGTGCCTCATATTGGCATTTTCTTGGTAGTTGTCATACCACTTCACACACACAACAAACATTTTTCTCCTCTGATGTAAAGAATTTAATTAGAGAATCTGGTGTTCTGGAGAAATGCCCTACAGTTGTAGCTTTTACTCATAATAATAGTAGATTTTTAAAACACTTGGTGCATTTAAGTTTATATTATATACGTTATTGATATATGCCTCTCTTTGAAAAATTTGTCTGAAAGTATTCGCTGTTTTGCAGGATATTGTGACCAATGTTTCTCCAAGGATTGTCCGTGGAACTACTTCAGGTCCTATGTATGGCCCAGGCCAAGGCTCTTTTCTAAACATTGAACTGATCAGCGAAAAAACAGCAGCATATTGGTGTAAAAGCATTGCTGAATTGAAGGCTGACTTCCCAAACCATGTAAGTGCCACTTAATCATAAAGATGCAACATACTTATTTAGAATATCCCATTTACAAACTTGTGAAAACTCAGATATTTAGTATTTATTAAATAGAATGCAAATTGATTTATTGACATGCGAGTAAGTTGCTAAAAACCAGAAAAGCCCATCCAAATATATTTATGACAGAAAATTCTGTGAAATGACTGTTATGCAGAGAACAGTCATGATGTTTTAGTGAGGCTGATGTTTACATTCAAAGAGATAATATCAAGGAAAAGAGTTGATCCCAGTGTGGATGCTTGTCAATTCTGTTGTGAATAATTTTGTATTTGAGATTATATTTAAAGATGTAACTTATAATAATAATTGTTTCTGTGAATTGAATTTAATCATAAAAGGAACATGTTTTTTTTTATTCTTAATCCAAATGTGAAAGATACTTATAATATTTTTATAAGCAATTGACTGCTTTAGGTGAAAAAACAATACTTAAAGTTAATTCACTACAAGTTTTGTTAGTTTTGTTAGAGCTTGTTTGGCTCTGGGGAATATCTGTCTGAAAGGTAATAGTCAAAGTTGGGAGCAATGACTCCAGCTAGCTGGCATAAGGGTTTTCAGGTACTGTTCTAGTGGATAAGAACCATGAGGTGGAAAGTAAAATTCTCCTCAATCATTATCTCGAATGGATAAAGCTAGAAATCCCATAGCCTGCATATCTTCTCTCTTGAAGTTATTACCTCCATGGTTCAGCTATGAGCAAAGTAAGTGAATGTTCCTGAATATATTATGACATGAAGATAATATGGGGTTTTTTTCTTATTCCTTGTGTTTCAATGTACACATCAGCAAGTATAAAAGAATTTAAAGACAACGTATTGACAGTAAAAGTTTAAAGTGCTGCATGTTTAATACTCCACTGTGGATGGACTGTGTGTTTCTTTGCTGAGATTCTTGTCACTTTATTTACTGTTTTTTTTTTTTACTTATTTACTATTTTATCATAGTGAAAGTATGAACCAAAAAATAATATCCTGATTTTGATTTATTCCCTGATTTTGATTTTAACATCCTTTGTCAAAATCTTGGATATTCCATGCAGGCAGACTGTTGACCATTTCTGCTGTGGAAATGCTATTCCAGTGCAGTCTTCACCAAAAATCCCTCACAGCACTTTGTACTCAAGATCAAACCATTCTCTTCTGTGAGGAAAAGCACTAGCAACATTTCAAAAGTATATGAGTTATTACTTTGAGAATGTGAATTCAGATCCTACATGTTGGCTGTGGCCGCTACTGTGGCATCTTTGAGGTTGGTAATGCCTGTGTGGGCATGGGGGAAACAGAATCCAGCAGTAGACCTTGGCATTGCTTACATACCTGTGAACTCTTAAGATCTGTCATAATTATAACAGTACATTTGTTGCTAACTGAAAACAAAATTTTGTTCACTAAGTAGAAGTGTCTTGGTGCTTGTTTTGAGATATTCTGTATAATTAAACCTTGCAGAATTTTCTTTCTCCAGTGTCTGTTCACTCCTTCAGAAAGGCTTTTTAAACTTTGTGAGTTTTATTAAAACCAAAACCAATTTCTGAGAACTGTTTGGGTGAACTTAATTAACAAGCAAAGGATGACATATTCTGTTCAAATGAAGGCCAAGCAGATGAGAATACAAGTGATTACAGTAAAAAAATTACTATGGCAAATTTTAAAAGCAAATCGAAACTTACACATAATTGCTTTTTCTGTGTAATACAAGTAATTTAAGGTAAGTTTTATCTTACAGATGAAAGGAATATGAGCAAAATAGCTACTTCACTAGAAGATGATCACACAACAGCCTCCTATCTTGTGCCATTGGGAAGAAGCAAACCAGAAAGGGCAGCCAAATCCCCCCAGTAGAGGCTAGGATGTAAACTAAATTTTGCAATGGGTTGTGCAAAAGAGGACCACCAGTCACAGCTCAGTGGTAATGTCACTTAACTGTGACATGTTGCCTCTATAAATCAGAAACTAGCATCTGCCTTGTGCTGTCTTCACCCCTGTAGTGTGTGGCCCTCATTCTTTGGCTCTTCTGGCTCCTGATTCTTGCTTGTGGCTTTCAGTTGTCTCTGACTGGCAGTCTTTCCCACTCTTCTCTTATACTTTCTTCTCCCTTTAACCCGGAATCCACTCCAAGTGGACTAGGGCAAAAGCTGCCACCACCAGAAACTTGCTTCAGTGCCACCAGCAGGGACTAAATTATTTGTATGAGTCCAAGCAGAGGAGAAAGCAGAAAGAGAAGGTGTCTGGATTTTGTGTGTTTGCTGGTGAAGTATTATCAAAAGCTGTGCTGTTTCAATTTGAGATTTTTTAAATTGAGTTAATTTCATGTCACTGTTACTGTTTTTTCAGAAAACACACACACACACACAAAGAAATTAGATGGTATGCACAGTACAGGTCCAAGATTATTTAAAAAATAGAATTTTTATTATTTTTTTAAATCAGATGCATCTGTTAAAATGATTTCCAGTTGATTGTTTTCATTCTTGTACTTCAGTCATCTCAGTAAGATGTTACTTCAAAAACTTGGCTGAGAACACTTAAAGCTTATATTATCGAACATTGCTTGTTTTAGATTTTCAAAGGATGCTTATTTAAAAATGTTTTGTCAACTGCTTTTGTATATACCAGAAAAACAACCTTTCAGTCAGAGTGCTGCGAAAGTGAGGAAAAAAATGAGTCTGTTTGTATTTGTCATCTTTTTTTTTATTTTTTCAAATACTATAGTTTTACATATTTGTACGGGACTGTCTTTGTCACATCCGAACATCTGCCTTACATTGTCTTTAAGTATATTTTTCTGTGCCATGGCCACACATACCATCTATTACCACAGGACTTTTCATTCTCTGCAATTATTAATCATCAGAAAATTGATTTTATTTTGTTTGTTTTAGTAGGAGAGACTGAGAACTTGACAGTGAGAAAAGATGGAACAATTATTTTTTTAATTTCATAGTCTAAATGTTAAAATACTGTTTAATTAGTATAAAGCTGACACCTTATTGAAAAATTTTGTATCCCCACTTCCCCCTAAAAGTTGTTTATAAAGTAGTATATTAGTCTAAAACTCAAGAAAAAAGTGAAAGAAAAATATCATTCATCAGAATTTTAAGACTCAAGTTTAATTACTCTTGTTTGAGAGGACTGATCACTGAAACCATAATCATAGCCTGGTCATCTATTTTCTTTACTCCCTGCTATAGAGAAACATTTCTGGCCAATAAAAGCTGTTCCCATGTAATACAAGTATTACCTCAACATCATAATGTGAAATAGGAAGACTCTCCCTTTCTAAGGCCTCCTTAGACTGGTTTGGAATGGCAAAGGGGAGACTTGGAAGTGGGACATGAACAAGTAGCTGGGTGGGGGCTTAGCTGCTTACTGAGGTCAACCTACCACAGATGAGAAAGGTATAAAGTTGTCAATTCATGTTAAAAAGGCTAGGCCATAATTGGGACATGCATTATTTAAAGTGCTTTAGATAGAGGGGCAGCAGAACTAACACTAATGTCACAATAAGTCCCACTTTCATACACCAAGGAGATACCTGATTATATGGTATGTTGATGTACTTTCAGCCAAAATGTGGTTGAAAAAGTGGCAGTTTATGGCATATTCAAGAAATTAGTTTACCTAAGAAATATGAATTTAGCCAAGTAGAACTCACGTAGTGATATGATCAGGAATGAAAACTGTGCATAAAAAAGTAATTGCTTTTATATTAGCAAATGTCTACAAAAAAGTAGGAACTGGCTGAGAAAGTTGAAAAGAAAACTATAAAACCTTGGAGGAGAACTTACTGCTAAAATTTTATATTCATGTACTTTACAATAGCTACAGTCTGGCCATTGTCTGTGCTGGGAACTGTGAATACTGGTAATTGGCAGTACACCTTGGTGTGCTGGTAAAGCAAGGAGTGGTAATGTCTTCAGGATTTTCACTGGGGAGAACAAGCTTGAAAAGAGCAAGGTTTAAAAACGGTAAAATACTTCTCTGCAGAAAAACGTGAACTGAGGGTTCAGTAAGAGGGTGATGGAGGCAGTTGCCAAATATTCTTTCTAAACCTTCTTAAAAGGGTAACTGGTGCCCTGTAGATGATCATAAAGTAAACAAATGAATGAAAAACCTCAATATGCAAATTACTTTGGGTCTGAGCACGTACAGGAGGTCACAGCAGTACAAATAAAGGACTTTGACAGGACACTTCATAAAAGACTTTGCAGGGGAAATGTCATTTCCTACCAGGCTAACAGAAGTCCATCACAAACAAGCAAATGTCTGAGAAATTTGTACTACAAGAAAGAACTGAGATCTTGGAAGAAGATGCCAAATTGAATTTTTTTCAACATTGCTATGTTAGTATACTGAAGTCTTAAAAGTAACTTTTTGGCCTCCTAGCTCAACACAAATGAGTTTGCTCTCCTCCATGACTCTGGGGAATGTACATAGGATACCAGATTGTCAGCTGTGACACTGAATCTGTGATTGAGATATCAGTGTCATGATGTGTTGAATTGAGAAACCTCTTCTGCTAGAAACATTAAGTACTCTTGGACCCCAAAACTAAGCTGAAAACTCTTGTCTTAATGTTTGTTCTGCTGCTTGCGGAATGTTGCTGACAGTCTCTCTGACAGTTACTCAGCAGAGAGCAGCTTTTCAAGGCTGAAACTGTTAAAGATATATTTTTATTCAACATTTTGTTCAGAATGTCCCAGGAACACCTGTCGGGAATAGCCATGCTAGAGAGTGTGTGGGAACAGATCGCTGGATCCCAGGCTGGTAACCAACTTCTTTGTAGCATTGTGGGGGTTTTGTTGGTGGGGGATTTTTTTAAATCTCCTGGAATGGTGTAAATAGTGTTTTATATTATGCATTTTTTTTCTACCACAGAAGTATGAAATAAGGATGCCACTTTTGTTTGCTTTGGGTGCTCGTGGGTTCTTGGTTTGAAATTTTTTTTTCTAATTTAGG